AGGGTTAGTTAGGGCTAGGGGGTTATGGTTAGTTAGGGCTAGGGGGATAGGGTTAGGGTTAGTAGGGTTAGGGATAGTTAGGGTTAGGGTTAGTTAGGGTTAAGGGGCTAGGGTTAGGGTTAGGGGGCTAGGGTTAGAGGGGTTAGGGTTAGGACTGCACTCAGTTGACCCACCTATCCCCTCCACCAATCAAAATTGATCACGTGATTTCTCTCAGCCAATCAGAATCTTCCCCTATCTAGGCTCCTTATACTACTAATATACATTTCCTTTTTTTTTGTCTCTTGTTAGTAAAAGCTAATATATCAATTCAATGTATTCTAGAAAATCAAACCTATTGCACGTCGTCGTCGACCACATTCATTGCGCAGACGAAATTTTGCTGTTATGTTCTTTTCCAGTAGAATATTTATAACCTCAGCTTCTTTTTCAGGGTCTTTAGGAGGCGCGTCCGTATAAATGTAAACGGGTGAGTTTTTATTAGACAGAGTTGCCCCTACAAAAATGAATTAATTAATTTTAAAAGTAAATTCTAAAAACATCGTTTAAACCTAAAAGACATAATTATAAGAAGCATATTAAAAAGATATTTTTTTTATGTATATTACTATTGAAAGTCTATTTGTTTTTGAAAAGAGGCAAAAATGGCTTTCACGGCCATATAAGTTAAATGCATGTAAAACAGCTGTATAATAGGCAATTTAAAGGATCCACAGAAGAATAAAATAGAACAAGGCCATCCTTTAAAAAATGTTTGCTTGGCCTCTCCCGATTAAAGGTAAAATTATTGTGTCAGTGGCTGGGGTTAGAAAAAAAATTTCCCAGAAAAATTGAACATACATGTACTTGTTGGTGGGATAAAGGGACTAATAAGAGAAAAAAAATTAAGTGTCCTAAAATGAAAAAAAGTTTTGAGTCGGACCAATTTTAGTTAGTCGGTCGAGAGAGGGCAACCAAACATTTTTTTTAAAGATGGCCTTACGTGTTTGACAGGGCATTCATTTGTTTACTTTTATCTTTGTTTGAATAATTAATTAGCTAAAATTAAGATAAATTGTAAAATTATGCTTAAGGACATCACACAACAGTTAGAAATAAACGTACAAAAAGATGAAGCTACCTGTTAATAAACCAGACAGACTGTATTCGGGACAGTCCGCTCCACCACTAACAGAGAGTTTGCTTAACCAGTCAATCATTTCGTCTGCATCAGCTGTTACTCGGCTTGTTTCAAGATCGACTAAAAATTAAAATTTATAAATAACATTCTTTTTTTCATTTTTTGAATTTGTACTAGAAAAAAAATTCCAAAGCCGTAGAAGAATTTGAGTTTGAAAAATGAAACGGAATGTTTTGAATATATAGATATGTGCATATTTAATGTAAATTTCTCGCAAACCTGGATCACTGAATGTTACGAGAATATATTTTTCTGGCACATTTTCTGATGTCTTTATAGCGTTCACGAATGACGTTGTTCCTCTCTTTACTCCGTCTATATTGTCAGCCATTGATCCAGTAACGTCGACGATAAAAGCAATTGAATAGTCTTTTATTTCTTTATTTCCAGTATTTGATTTGATCTGGAATATCTCTGTGGATAGGTGATTTCCTAGCATGTTGAAAAGGCCGTCATCTTCAATTAGAAAAAGTCAGATGCAAGTTGCGACGATACAATGTACATAGTTTTGTCCCCTGCTTTTGCGAAAACGAGGGGACATTAAATCTCATTCGTCTGTCAGTCTGTAGTTCTGTCTGTAACAAAAACTTTAACCTTCGTCATATCTTTTAAATTAAAAGAGATAGGGCTATCTTATTATACATGTATAATACCTGTGACAAAACCTTTCTGAAAACACCATGAATTTGGACCTTGTGACCTTGAACTTCGACCTACTTTTCAAAAACTTTAAACTTGGCCATTTCTTTTGAGTGAGTAAAGATTGATTGATTGATTATATACTGTTTAACGTCCCTCTCCAGAATATTTCACTGATATGGAGACGTCACCATTGCCGGTGAAGGGCTGCAAATTTAGGCCTATGCTCGGCACTTATGGCCTTTGAGCAGGGAGGGATCTTTATCGTGCCACACCTGCTGTGACACGGGCCCTCGGTTTATACGGTCTCATCCGAATGACCGCCCCATTTAGTCGCCTTTTACGACAAGCAAGGGGTACTGAGGACCTATTCTAACCCAAATCCCCACGGGGCGAGTGAGTCAAGATGTTGCATTCATGTCATACCTGTATATTGGCTGTGACAAGACCTTTCTAAATAGTAGAGGACTTTTGACCCCATGACCTTGAGCTTGAAATGAGACCTACTTTAAAAAAAATTAATTACTTTAAATTGGCCATAACGTTTGAATGAGAAGAGATAGGGCTTTCATATGACAGATGTGTTTTATCTGTGACAATTAGAACCACAGGGGCCGGTAACATACTGTTTATGATTTTACGTAATCACTATATATATACAAACAAAAAAGGAAAGGGAAACAACGTCAGCCCGAATTTACACAGGGTCGATCTCGGAAATATTTCGTATTTCATAGAAAAAAGTACGTAGCCAATTAAATTATAACTAGAAATAATACTACAATAAATATTCTTTAATAAAACAGAAACCTCGTTATTTTTTATAGCGTTTAAGTTGGGTAATACTAACTCGATATCCCGTTGTGCGAGTCGATGTACTTTAAGTTGTCCACTAAAACGAGGCAAAATTCGCACATTTTCTCCAGTTTTGAAGTCTTTCCGGAGATGGAAAACACAAAGTAAAGATCCAGCGTTCACGAAAATCATCTTTTTCTTTTGTTAATTGCAATTAAAAGGTACAACATCTCCGATTTGAATAAATACGGTAGCTTTTTTCGTTCACAGAGATGCTCGAGCCCAGAACAGACGACATTTTGGAAAAACCCATGATTGGTAAAAGGCGGAGCGTGATTGGTCAGATCTGTTCTAGAAAAGCACCATTGACCAATCATATCTCGCGTTAAATATTGAATGCAATGTTTAGCGAATTTAGTGGACGACTTAAACTACATCACTTGCATGACAGGATATCGGATCTGCAAAACACAACTTACACGATTCTTAAATGACCGCGATGGTATTTTTATTAAAGAGTGATTATTACTGAATGATCCCAGACGTTATTTCACTAACTGCAAGGTATTTTATTGAAAACACGAGTCATTTCCGAGATCGACCCTGTGTAAATTCGAGCTCACGTTGTCTCCCTTTCTCTTTTTGTATACATATAGTGATTACGTAAAATCAAATTCACACAGTATGTTACAGGCCCCTGTGATTAGAACTATCTAAATACACTATGACCTCGTGACCTTGAAGTTTGACCTACTTTTTAAAAACTTTGATCATGACTTTTGAATGGGTAGAGATAGGGCTTTTATATAAAACATGTGTAATGCCTCTGACAAGACTTTTCTAAATACACTGATTTTTGACCCTGTGACCTTGTAGTTTGACCTACTTTTAAGAAAAATAAACATTACTTTAAATCGGCCATAACGTTTGAATGAGAAGAGATAGGGCTTTCATAGTACAGATGTGTTTTATCTGTTACAAGACCTTTTTAAATATACTATGATTTTTTTTACCTTGAAGTTTTACATACAAAAATGTTCAGAAATAAGCACGCTAACTCTCGATTCCTGTCTACATTCTGGAACCATTTAATAAATAGCAATTTAACCATAAAATCTTTGTTTAATACAAAGAACAGTTCAATGGTAACTGGCGATTTGTCTTAATAAATGCGCTAAACAGTAAGTTATCCACAATTCCAGGTCTTGAAAAAAGGGGGGTAGACGATATTTTCCATTGAAATCGGAGTTTCAAGCATCACCATTTTTTGAAATAGCCTTGGATATGATTAAATGTTCCTTATATCTTTTCTTACGTTTTCGGCAAATAAATAAAACATAAATATATCAATAAAATATGTTTCAGTTGTAAATCGCTCAGAAATTGATGGAAAATAAGCATTTTTGTCTTTTTTTGTTAATAAACATATGTTCCCCCAGTGTCACACAAAAAGCTTTGGTATGAATTTTGAAATAACATTGTTTGAATTTAATTATTTATAAAATCTGAGTTAACTAATATGTTGTGAAATGTTTTGGGACACACTTTGAAATTAGATGAACATTTCTTCTTTTTATAGGGAATTTTAACTATAATTTTTACAAGCATCACAATAATATTCAAAATGATTTTTATTAAAAACTTTGCGTTTGATGCTTTATTTTTGTCTGTTATAAAAAGTAGAATACCTCCATCTGATAAAAAATAAACAGAGGCTTGTTTGGCGGCCTCAAAAGCTTGTTCGTGCAAGTGGAAGTGAGGAGCATGTGCAGCGGCTGATCTCCCCTTATAAATACCACCCGTGGCTGTCTTCAGTCGGGTTGTGTCATCCTGCGAACCGTGACTACATTTTCCTGTCTGCCCTTCACTTTTGAGCGGTTTGGATACATCTTGTCCAGCTCTGTATCCACTGGTTAATTTAGTTGTTATGGTATTGTTGATGCACATTCCATTTTGAATGCTTCATTTTTTATTTAAAAAAAAAAGTTTCTTAGTTTAATCACAATTCTGAACCTTAGTATTGCATCATATTAATTATTTTGAGAACAAAACCCAAGCAAACGTCAATAAGAATGTGTGTTAAACTCGTAAAAGAAACATGTATTTAAATATATCAAATAATATATATTTGTTATACAAATCGTATTCTAACTAACAACAAGTCGAAAAACGATATTGTATTATTGTTATGTCGCAGACAAAACAAGGACACGCAAAACGGAGCATCGCTGATCTTTTCTTTTTATTTTGGTGGAACGGGACAACATACCTCGCATACTTGTAAAAGAATTGCACTTTAATCTATCAATAATATGCAAGTCTCATTACAAATAAGTAAGATGTACCTAAAGTGATTATTTTCTGAGACGAGGTAAGAATTTGACAAGCTTGACAAATTGATAAAACAATATTAAGAGTCTCTTTTAAGTCATTTTTTCGCAATTTCTATGGCCGATACAATGTCCTTGTCGGTAGCTACAATCTTTAATTTACTAGTATTCAAATTTCGATGGTCGTTATTCATATTAGTGTTTAGGCCATTTACACACTGTATTGCAAACGGATTTTCCAGTGTTTTCCCGATGAAAACAAGGAGCACATGATGACAGGTGTGAACTGTAGCCAGTGGGATACACACTTCTCCATGGCACCTGATCCCCCGCCCTCTGATGTTTTAGAGGTCCCTGTTGCCCCTGAATTGTATAATTTGAACGGATTTTTGAGCTTTTTTGCTGTTCGTTTTGTTACGTTATGCCTGGTTCTTTTCCATCATGTTACAGAAAGATCGTGTTGAATGTTGATCGTTTACTTATCTCATTCACTGAGTATTATTTTCTTTATATTTTGTTTTCAAAACCAGTCTTTATCAATTATTTGTTCGAATCTTAGCCGCGCCGCGACTGACCCAAGTCGATACAAAAGCAAGTGTACGTCATGAAACAGTAATGACTTAGGTATATGTCGTCTATACAATTTGCTAGCTTAAGTCGTTCGAAATCTTGGTACGTTGAACAACGATCAATATTCAGAATTTACAATTTTTTGACTTATTTACGACTTATCTAGTTCTTACGATTAAGTATCTTATACACTGACTTTGTAAAAATATTTTCAACTGTCAACTCTATCCTTCAGTACTTTATGAATACTTTTCAGGAAGAATAAGTTAAAATATAAAAACCTTTCCAAATCTGTAGGACAGTTGTAACAAGTGTCTTCTGAGAAAGCATTTACAACCTCAGGTAGTACTTCTTTTATACCTTAAATAGTATATAAAAATTGTTTGAAGGTTAAAGAATTGATTTTTAAAGAAAATTTTAAAATAGAAAAGTATTAACAAGGTAAACAATTTAAGGTTCCAAACGAGATCATGTGCTACACACACAGATATACAATATATATAACAAAAAAAAACATTGATGTAGCCATCAATTGTCGCCCGGGAAAAATATGAATTAAACCATGGAAATTACTCTTGATCATCAAACCGCTTCGATTTGTTGATAAAGACATGCGTCTGAATGATTGAGACTATGATGGAGAAAATTTACGGAAAGCTTTAGTTTGATTAAAATTAAATAAAAACGATACACTTTTAAATTTCATCAATTCTTTATGTAACTGTTGGCTGCATAAAATATAAATTAAAATCAGTCACATGGATCACCTATCACCAAAAATATATTTGACTTAATGACTATAAAACAAAAACTGTGTAACGTACGTTTTTATGCGAAAAGTAAATTTTAATGTTTTTAAAAAAAGGGACCTGTCGTTTTTTGATAGTAAATGAGAAGCAACTTTATATATTAAATATGAAAAACATATTATATATTTAAAGATGTACTTCATGGAAGCACGTATATTTTGTAAATCGTAATTTGTAACGGAAAAGAACATTCTGATAATCTTTTTTAATGTTTAGTTAACCTTCAATTCTGAATAACTTCTCCCACCTCAATCCCCATACTTTAAAACTTAAACTTATATGTATAGAGCACCCGGTCCTCCGGGCTGCAATGAACAAAATCTAAACATGACCCCCCCCCCCTAATTTTTGTCAGGAGAGTGACAATAGAGAACATTCCATGCTGACCAGTCACATCTGCTATGTCTCATCTGTGAAGTGAATGAGCTGGGAGTCATGATCATCATAAGCAGGTGATAAGGGAATATTTTTACATAAAAAAGGCAAAGTTGGCGATGGAAAAACTGGTCATATTATTTGTCATACTATTTTATTTGTTGTAAATTGGCCTAAATTGTCTTTAGTCAGTTAAACATCCAAATATTAAAAAAAAATGTGACAGCTGACTCTGTGTCGCTTTTATTTCAAGTTCACTGGGTTATATCGAGTCGACATACACTAAAAATAACTATTAAATGGTAAAACATCGTCGATATATCTGAATTATGAAACAAGGCCACAGATAGTTTTCCATCTTGTGTAGTTTTCCAATTAATTTTACTTCATATCAATATAAACAGGTCGATTATTAAGTGAGCACAATTAGTGTCCATCACAATTCCAATTTTTTTTGGGGGGTGGGGGGGGGGGGGGAGTGGCCTTCGAAGATAAAATAATTGCTGTCATTGAGGAGCTGCAGCATCCTTTTTCTTTTGATATCAGAGTACTTGTGAGCAGAATCAGTCCGTTTTTTCCCGAGTTTCGTTTTTATCAAAAAAGCAGTTGTCTATTTAAAAATTAATTTTCAATTTTTCGTAAGTAATAAAGTTGTTTAAAGTATGGAAAAGTCACAGGGTTTAATATCATCGACTAATTGAAAAATTGATTTTTCACTCATATAGAGACGTGAATAAAAGTTGAAATGTACATGTAAATATTATTTTTTTCAATTTTGTCGGACCTACCCATGTTCAAAATGTTATTTGTTGTTCTTTCTTTCGTAATACTTTCCGTGCATAATGTAGTCTCTCCAAGTTGAAGTGAGATGACTTACATACATGTACGATATCTTCTTGATTCGTTTATATTCATTAATGTTCTATTTAAATCTTACCGAACTCCTTTAGAATAGCGTCACCCTTTAGCTCTACCCAGTTAGTATTACTGTAGAACTGCTGGATTGTATAGAGACAATGTCCTATTCGTTCCCTCAGTATTTCAATGTCTGCTGTAGATGCTGATTTTGAAAGGTCTATCAAAGATTTCCTTAAAGACCGCACGTGATTATGAGCTGAAAAATTAGGAATACAAGCTGTTTTATTTTAAAAACATGAAGAAACAATGTATGAAAAAACACATCACGTACAAACTATATACATAAAGAAATTCATACGTTTAAAGCTTTTAAAGCAATATTTCAAAAAATGAAATGACTAAGGATTGTTATTTACATTTTGAATGATAATCTTTAGATTAAACAGTGATCACTTTTTGCTCGTAAATAACGGGGGCGATTTACTTCCGAAAAGGGATTTATAATGTACAAGATCTTCATTTGTTTTCTTTGTTAGTCGAAAACGTCCTATGTTCTTGGTTGATCTGATTATTTGAATAACCAAAGAAATATTTTCGCTTTAGCACTGAGACAGAAAAACAACAGGAGAATTATCGACCAATCATAAAACGTTGTCTCGATACTTGCATTAAATTTCTGTGTTGCGCTTGTTTGTTCGATAAAGAAAAACCTTCCTGGTTGTAAAGTTAGTCACAAGTCTTTCCAAAAGCATGTTCTAGATGTTTAAAGAAAAATTCCAGAGCAAACAAAGAACAAGGACAAGAGAGGTTTTAAATTTCATGATCGACCGAAATCGATAAACTATATAATTTATTTAGGAACACGCAAATTTAATACATTTAATGAATTATTCACCGTCATGTTCAATTCAATCCAATTTTCTAATCTGTATATATTTTATTGAGAGAATCATTAGCAGTAGCTAGATAGTATTACGATCACGAACACGTGAATGTATATATTGTTATGAAATGAATGTATTATGTTAGATGTGAATGTTATATTATGTATATATATATATATATATATATATATATATATATATATATATATATATATATATATATATATATATATATCTATATATCCCTGAAAATATTAGATTTCCTGCAAAAGATTTAAAAGGCAATCCCCTGAATATATTTCAAACTGGGTTAAGTGATGTTTTTGTCTTTACGCAATTTATATATTGTTCAACTTTTTAGTTGAATTGATGAAGGTAGATGCTTAATTTACAAAATCGTAATAATTAATTAATTTTGCATCTCTTTACCCAATTGTAAAATATTAAAATATAATTTAAGGAGATAGACCCAAAGATGGGATAAATGATACGTTTATGGAAGCAAATACCAAATTAATACTGATCTTTAACATGTTTACTTAGCCTTCTATTTCTCTATTAAACTGGTGCAAAAAAACTGCCTGTTCTATACTTTGTCATACAAACTGCGATGTTACCCAGGAATATCTGCTCCCCATTAACGTGGTAATATGCTTTATCGGCCAACTCTCTTTGAATCTCGTTTTGATAATTGGTAATGGCAAAAATATTCTGAATGAAGTGGGTCTGAGAGTCTCTGTCTGTAATGAGATTAATTAAACATTCCATAAACATATGTTTTAAAACAATATGATTCCACAGTCATCAATTTTTAAATGTAGTATAACATGCACATGTAAATTTTACTCCGACTCATATCAGATTATAAAGAACGGTTCAGATGAAAAACTGGCGTCTTCATCAATTAAAGGAAAACTAAAATTTGAGTATAAAGGTATTAGTTTGATTGCCTTTTGGAGAGTCAAAGGAACACGATATAATTTTGAAATTGTCCTTACCTTTTCCAAAGAACTCATTTAATGCTTCGCTCGGTGTTCGCCCTGTACTGTTAACAAGATTATGCCTCAATAAAAAATTATACGTCGAAAGGTATATCCCGTATATATTTATTGTAAGATGCGACTTTGATTTGTATTCTCCTGGAATATTCTGAGGAGGAAAACTCAAAACACGGTAATGTCGATTAAATAATACACAGACCATTACAACGAGAGAGAAAAATCCTTTCATGGTGGCACATTTAAAGAGCTTCCCCTGTCAATGTAACTTTGGTTTTATTTCAAATTTTAAGTATATTTAGAAACAACTAATTTGAACTCCAAGTGAGAATTCCCTAGTCCATTTTATGAGAAAGTATTTTTGATGTCTGTTGAAAGTTATTTGAAATCTGTCAATCAATCATATTATTTTATGACACGTAAACTGCAGTGACTTTAATTATTAAAATTGTTTTTAATCCCAACAAAACATTCAGTGTATTTAAAAGGATAAATTCAAAATGACATATTTACATTGACCACATTCTTCAAGTATCATCTACTTTGATAGAAAAGATTTGGGGGTATATAGTTTACTCTGTCCATCCGTCTGTCCCTCTAGCTGTTTGTTTGTCCGCAAAAACATGAGCATAGTCGAGCACATAAATTTCAAATGTACTTTCCTTGTGACAAGACGTTTCCTTGGGTACGATCATATTTTACCTCCTGATCTTGAAGTTTGACCCAATTTTTTTTAATAATTTACCCAACTTAAAACTTGTCCATAACTTTTGAACAGTTGGTGCTAGAGGTTTTATACTTTACGTTTACTTTTGTAAACATACCCTTTCCATGGATGACCCGGGTATAACTATTTTGTATTTGACCCGTATAAAAAAAATTACATTGTACTTTTTAAAAAGTTTGTACTAGATCTAGAGCATATATATTTCACTGGTGTATCCCATGTGACAAGGCTTTCCTTTTGATAATAACAATGTTGACTTTTTGACGTTGACCTTGGAGTTTGACCTACTTGTGAAAAAATAAACCTTCGCAGTAACTTTTACACGAGCTGGCATATTTCACAAGTATATTCATTGAGACAAGTCCAATTTTCACCTGTAGACCTTGGATTTTGACTTGCATTATATTTGAAACTTCAACCTTCGCCAAAAGCTGCTGTACAGGTCCTTTTTTCTACCTTCAACGCTTTCAGTACTGGGTATCTATAGGTGTTCTTGTAGAAGGGATAGAAGTATATCTCGATATGCTTTAATTCCGATATGTCAGAGAATCAAATTTATTTCACATCAGTACTAATTACTAAATAAAGGCTTTGCGCCATTAAAGTCTGCTTAAGTTTGCTTGTAATACAAATTACACAGCGAAAGAACATAATTTCGTGTCAAGTGACCATGAGGTAAATATGATATTCTAACTGAGCCAACATCAACGCCGTTGTTGAAAATCAGCGCCAATCTCGTGACAAACCTACAGGTGATGCTGTGAACATTGAATTTGGACGATCAAGCAAGGCACAAGACTCAAATTCCTTTGACATTGTTTGGGCGGGGTGAAAAGCGCTCTTTGAAATGTTCAGTAGAATTGGACATTACCACAACGCCTTTAGTTATCGGGAAAAAATGTTTTCAACGATTTTTCGTTAAAATAGAATTTCGAATGTTCTGTATTTTTGCTGAAGAAACAAGTTATCGAATCATTTTTAAACGATCAATGCACATGTAGCTCTAACAAAATAGAGTTGTCTTCCTTTCGATGTATTGCCACAGCTTTCTCCATATACAATGAAGAGCTTGAAGTGGTAAAAAATTTCCCGTTTGAATGGAACGTTTTGAGCTATCTTTAGAACGTTGATTGTCATACAATGACACGCCCATTTCTTTAGAAAGGAAAACTTGGTCAAATGCTTCATTCGAATACCTGTTCTAAGTAATAGTAAGATCATACGAAGAGAAATCTTCGTCATTAAGAATGGGCGGAACGAAGCGGAACCCATTCTTCGTGAAGAAGATTTCTCTTCATATGATCTTACTGACTTAGAACAGAACCTCAGCCAATCAAATGCATGGATTAAAAATAAACTCCTCCCACGGCTGTGTCATATATAAGGCTCAACTTGACCGCTCGTTGTACATATCGAACACGCAATCAATATCGAACACACGCGGTTTCAGAATGGACTCCCAACCCATTCAGGTTAGCACGGGATTATATGAAATACCTTGATTTACTGAGGAAATGGTATGGTGAAGATATTAAAGTTTCTGAACTAATGAATATCATAGGAGTTAGAAGCAAATTGAAAGGGGGGGGGGGCTAAACCAACAAAAACAAATAAACTCTAATTTTCAATGCCTATATTTTATGTATATATTTGCAAGAAAAGTGGGGGGCTAAGCCCCCCCCCCCCCGGTTCCGACGCCTATGAATACTCATGTAACAAGAATCTACATTTTGGAAAAATGATTGTGTTAAGATGACAAGGCCCTAGTCAGCAGAAGTGTGTATGGCTGTCTAATATCAAATAAAAATTTGATGAAAATTGTGATTAAATCTGCCTTCAAAGACAAGGTTCGTTTCTGATATACATGACGATGGTTGTATTTTCTGTATGTACCGAAATGTGAAAACAAATAATATTCAAAAAGCGACAAAAGATTACAGTGGGGAAAAAATGTAGCAAGGCCTAGAAAGTTTAAATATCATGATTGTAAACAGCACGTGGGTTTTGAATAGTTTCTTTTTGTGTGCTGAACAAAGACCAATGAAGACACACCCATATAACAGTCAAGTGAACCAATCAGACACCGTTGAATTTTTCAGAAATAGAAGAATTCTTCACCATGAAGAATCAATTCTTCGAAAGAAATGGAAGCATTTGATTGGCTGAATAAGTAGGTTATGTTCTAATAAATATAATAGGCAATAAAATTGACGGTCTATATAAACACAGAGTAAGCATGTGTTCGACCAATACATGTGATATGGAAACTCCAATAAACATGATAAATTCATAATTACGTACAAATTTGTTGCAATACATGTTTTACAGAAGATGGAACTCTCTACATTTCTCTTATAACTTTAAAAAATTCCATTTCTGTGTACATGTAACTCATGTTGCTTGCCGCAAAGAGTAGGGTGACCTAAAATATTACGACGAATATTTCTTGTTCGTTTCTAAAGAAATGGACGTGCCATTCTGTTATAATTGACGTTCAAAACATGACTCAGAACGTTTCATCCAAACTTAAAAGAGGAAGAGGCTCCAATGCCCTAAAATGGCCCCATCAAGATTTTCAGAAATAATTGTTTATAGACATGTAGAGGTATTGTAATTTTCAGATACATTTAAATTTTTGCCGTGCGACGCACGTGCTGCTTGTATGACGTCATCAATCTTGCTATGTTGAATGAATGAAGACTTCAGATTTCTATGATAAACACATATGGTTTTCAATACAAAATGTTATGAAAATTCATTATCAAAATATGCATAAACTTTATCCTGATCTTTTATTCATCCAAAGACACTGTCTAATTTTATTTTACAACAGGCACACATTGCAATAAGAGCAATTTTTTTTTTTATAAACAACAACAATGATTAAATACCATCTTCACAACACACTGTCCAATATCTGTTTTTTTGTCATTTACATCAGTCAGCTCTTAGATCTAAGGATAAATTGAAATCTACACACTATGATAATAAGTTAAATTGTTCGACAGAGCAACATTAGCAACATTTCAGAGCTAGATACTGCAAAAAAATTAATGATTAAACACTTCACTAACTTGCATCATTTATATTTCCATATTTACGTTAACTATTACACACTTGGTAATTTCTGTTTTTCCAGTACTTTGATGCAAGTAAAGTTTAGTAAACACTAAACGTTCTTATATCAAAACCTTCCAAAAATCAAACAAGGTAATTTTCTCAACACTTCAAAAGGTAGTTTTTGGTGTAAAATTGTTACTAAGTAATTTACACATGTATGCTTCAATGAAAAAACGCTTTAAAAAAAGTTTCAAAATCAAATACATGTAGTACTATACTCAGTCATCCTTGGACTTTCAGTAAGGCGTGGCATATTAGCGTCTCTCAAATAGCGACATAGATTCTCATTGGTTAAAAAATTAATAACACCAGCAACTTTAAATTGTTGTTGTTGACAACGATAAGATGACGTAAATCCCATCTCTTTGCCGTACGAAAGACTGTCATTGAATCATTGTTACACTCGTTGACATTAGCCCGAATCTTTATCCGATGTACATGTATAATTATATTTCAACAGTGAATGAAAGGCTGTGTAAATTTCATACGCTAATTATGTAAAGTCGAGAATGCCCATCTTAATAATATACTGAAAGTCCAAGGATAACAGAGAATTGTACCAATTGTCATTCTTCAACACAGCCATCATCTTCATCACTGTCATCACTATCGTCAATCTTTTCTGGTTCCGGAACATCCTTTGCGTCCTGTAAATACTCGGTCCAGTCATTTATATGACAGAAAGGTTGCGCTAGATGTCTTGCATAACCCAGATACCACATGACTGAGGTTATGTGAGCGCACATACCTACTACCCTGGACCCGGTTCTACACTGGCAGTACCATGAAAGTACTCGACATTCATCATACATTATCCACAGTAAGTATGATTTTGACGTAATATGTCGACTCTGAAGCTTTGCACATAATAGTTGTGAATCTTGTTTACAAATCATTACTTCAAATTTTGACTTGTCATTAACATGTTCGTGGGCATATGATTTGGCAAGTTGGACTTGGTATACGCCAATTGCTAATGATCGTATTTCTTCTTCTGTCATGGACGGAAAATTGATGTCAGTGGAATCTAGTCTTCTCCAGACTCCCCTTACTTTGTTAAGCTTCTCCTTTTCAATTCTTACTTGCAGTTCATTGTTTTGTTTCGCCAGATATAACATTTTGCAGCCGATCGCCTCGTCATCGTCGCTGTTTCCACTGCTCAGTGCAGGTAAATACTTGTTACATATTGCTGCAACAATAGATATGTCATCCCCGACAAAAGGGATCAAACTATTTGGCAGAACTTTATCAAAATATTTCCACGACCTTAGCCTTGCGTTCGCCGATTCCACAACCCATCTTATTTTTGTGACGAGCCTTGATGTGTTACTTTGTTCTGTTGCTAACTGTCTTTGGCCTTTTGTTAAGAATGCTGGCATTTCACTTCTTATACCAACTTCGTCG